TCTAATTAAGACACATTGTAAGCACATTTGTAAATGTCACAATGAACCCTCCTGAACCACTAATATATGCTGATAAAATGCTAATAGTCTGGTGTTCCCCTGTATCCTAAATTCATGTAGCTGAATGTTTTCCAGAACGTCAGGCCTGAATGTGGTATGTCAAGCACCGATGGATGGAAGTGTCTGAAAACATGAGCCTAATAAGCCTTACCCCTATTAAGTTGGCTATGTCAGGAGTTTTGTTCACAGCAATGGAAAGCTGACTAGCACAGTCAGGCTGTCACTGTCATGGTGTTCAAGCATCCTGTGTGTAGTTGAACTTGCTTGTATTTATTACTTATTCTAATCTAGAGATCCCATCAGTAAAGACCTAGGCAAAACTCTCTGAATTTTGGGTTGTTTATGTCAGAGAAGGGAAAGGTTGAATTTTATCTGAGTCTCCTTCACAGTCTAACACTTCATTGTTTTTTAAGCCTGTAACTACAAAAGATCACTTCTCTTCCTCTTCATTAGTCAAATAGCTGACTTTCGGCTAGAGGAAGTTATATTGCAATTTTCATGATTGCCACGCATGTTGTGATTAATTTTAATGTTTGCTAACATGCACAATAAATTTTATTTGGCCTTTGTAATGTCCGAGAACACATTTTCCTCCTTAGATAGCCTCCTCTCAGGCAAGGCAAAGGAGACCGCTGTTTGGTTTACAATTCCCATGCTTACACCAAATGAAGCACACTCCATTTTAAAACTTCTAAACATAAAGAGTTTTATGAAAACACTGTATTTCAGCATGTGTTTCTTAGAGAAGCTGAAAGACAAAAACAGAGTTACAGTTGTATTTTTGGCTAAGGGATGCCTACCATTCCCATGATCAACTTTGGATTCTGATTACTAGTGTGTGGTGGCCCCTTGTCTTCCTGTTCCTTACCCTAACACTCTTCATTTATCATTGGGAAAGTCCTAGCTTACTTTTTGTCATAGAGATCATTGAACTTTGCTGCATCCTCTTCTATCATCGGAAAAGGAAAGTCCCAGGGCCTTTCCTTCCCCCACACTCCTCCATGTGGAGGTCATGAAGCCCTTGGCAGCTGTGTTCCCTGTAATCAGTGTGAGATGATTTTACAAGTGACATGAAAGATCCATTTGTTGAATGTCTGCTTTGTTAAATGACAGGCACATGTTGATGTTTTAATATGCTCTGCCTCATTTAAATCTTAAGACAGTGCTAGGAAGAAGAAAAGAGAAAGCCTGTTTTCTTTGCACCACCACCAAAGCCAACCTGTGGGCCAACACGGAACTCCTGGGTTTCTGGGAGTCAGAAATTGTGCATTGTACAAATGTCTTAGGAGGTACTTTTATAGGAATAAAGCATGCTTTTCAAAACTATTTAGATGGTGAATATTGGAAGTGGAGGTGTAGATTGGCCAATTTATGCAGAGTTGAGTGGGGAGGTTAGTTAGTCCTGTGACTTCAGTGCTGCATGGCATGGAGTTCCTGCCCTCCCCCATCTCCAGGGCTTTTATATTTCTTCCCTCCACTCAATTTGAAATCAGAAAAGTGAATGCTGCTGGGCAGAGCTCAGTTTCCTTCCACAGCTGTTAGAAAAGAAGTTCTGACTCTAAGCCATTGTTCTTATAATTGCCTGTTTTATTGGATTACTGACATAGCCTGACCATCTGTATTTCTGCAAATATTGGCCTTGGGTCTGAGGGTTAAACTTAAAAACAATAAAACAAAAAACAAAAAAACCTCCCTCATAGGGGGATATTTACCTCATAAACAAACACCAAAAACACAGATTATAGGAAATCATTTAAGTTTTTTTTTTTTTTTTAATGCTTTGAGCCTGGAGATGCTGAAGAGGCTGTTACCTATTTAGAAAGTGGCACTGATCTGACTGATCTGATTACTGATTGGAGAACCCCTTAAAGATTTTTCTTAGTGTACGCACACCTCTAATTTTAGAAAACGAGAGACTAAGAAATACTGGAGAGCTAGTTTTAGACGCAAGGTAGTAGGGCGGAGGAGACTTGGGTAGTTCTGAAGTAGCTAAATCCTGCACTCAGGAAAAACTGGGTTTGTCAAAAACTCCACCCATGCTGGAGTTGTGATTGTATCCACGTATTTTAAAGATATTAAAAGGTAATGGAGATTGTAGCCTTAGCTCACTGCATTCTGTTTCAGAGAATATCAGAATTTTATATGAAAACACACTGTGGATCTCACACCCAAAGGGTGGATTCCTTATCATTAATGGGGTGCTCTTGGTGTGTGTTCAGGTTTAACCCAAGAACTCCACTTTGTGTTGCTCCTTGCTGAGGGCTCTGGGAAGTTCAGTCATCTTTTCATCTTGGTGACGCTGTTGCTGAAAGAGTGAGGCAACAGTAATAATACTGCCTTGCTTGCCTTCATAATAGGGCTTCAAAGTTCACAGAGAACTTTCACACACATCATCTTTTTCTGCATCTCAGCAGCCTCGTGGATTAGGTGTGGCATGTATTATTAACACTTTTATTATGCAGTAAATTTGGAATCCGAGAAACTACACAACCAGTCCAAGTCGAGTAGATTTTTAAAAATGTGTTCCAAAGGAGGCAGAGGGAAAAAAAATTCAACACACACACACACACACACTCCCAATAAAAGCTCTTCTTTATGGGGACTGTTTGCTCTGTCAGCTCTCACAGCCCTTCAGTCTAGTTCCCATGCATATTTACTGGAATACAAAGTGAGATGTCACCTGTAGGAGATCCCAAGGGCCCCATAAAACTAGGGCTTCTCATTATCAGAAGAGTGGTGGAAGCCTGTTTGTCTGGCCCACTTCAGTTTCCCCTGCCCTCACATTTTCCCAGCCCACATCCACAAGGTATTAAGCTGTTGGTTTAGCTGCTTTCTTTTTAAATCTGTGCCTCCCCAAAGCTCCTATCCAGTCCAGTCAGGACACCCCACACCCCCACCTCCCTGGAAGTGGGCTATTGTGCTGGCTTGGCCTCTTGCTTATGTTGTCTTTTGCATGCTGTCAGAACTTAAACCCTTCAAGAGTCCAGCATTTTCCATGGGATAGAGTTCGTGTTCCTTAGCTTAGGACCCAATGCCACAGGTCCTGTCTTCAGCACTGCGCTGTGTTTTCCATTCACCGCCAAGCTGCTAGTTCTCTTGCAGAAGTAGTAGTCCCTTAGCATTCTTCTCTGCTTTTGTACAGCTGCTGAAAGTGACTAAAATGCCCCTCTGCTGTGCATTTAAATCCCTTACTTATGTGCTGAGTTAATACTGGTTCTTTAAAATTTGTCAGGTCTTCTTGGGGAGCTTTTTCTAGCCTCCCCTGTCTGGTAAAGTGGGCCCCGGTCATCTTTGTGTCCACAGCACCTTCTCCAGAGCTCCACTATGAAACCTTGGGTGTGGGCTTTCTGAGGATGAGGTCTGAGTCATAACACCCAGCAGCTCAGGGCGAGACTCCTGCAGGGGATTACAGTAAATGTGTTTGGCTGAATTGTTGGCCAGTACTTCACAGTAGCCCTAACTGCATGACCAGGACAGTGGTTTTGAAAGCTACCCAAAGATACCACTAATTAGGAATGCTATTGAGGTGGTCTACAATTTAGAAACCATACTTTCTCTGTCATAGGACCATTTCTGAATGAGCTTCGTTAGGAATCTGTAACAATGGAGAGGGACACAGTTTTTGTCTTTTCATATGTGAATGAATTCAGAAATGCATACTATAGATTACAGGGTTCAGTTCTACTTCAACATTGATTTGTGTTTTCCTGCACAAAAACAATGTAGAGTTTTGTCACTTGACTGAAACCAGAAATCAAAATAATCCACTGTGTTAAACCAGGAGTATTCTTTAGTCAGTGTTTGTGAACAACCTTTATACCTGTGCTTCACAACTTTGTGTAATTCTCTTTGCTGTTTTCTAGGGCTCGTATGTGTTTGGTTTACATGTGACGTGCCAGGTGGCGGCTCCTGTATTGCTCTATGATGGCCTCTCAGCCTACTTTTGGCTGTTAGACCGCATTTGTTCTCTGCTGCATATAACTTGTTTACTCATTCATTCCAGTATTTTTAAGTTAGAAGTTATGAATCAGTTTTCTGTACCCTGGTGAGGGAGCAGGAAGACCAAGCCATAGAATTTGTGTCTACAATTACAGAGTGTAGAAAAGAAGTCATTGTTTCTTCTGTTTGTTCTAAAAGCTTTAAAAATTCTGCATTCACGTTTCTTGATCATTTTTGTTGTTGTAATAGACAACAATGTGACTAAATGGATATTTGAGTGGACTGAATTTCATTTTTGTGATACATATTTGAAAAATGAGGCTGATTCTAAACATAACCACATTAATCAAAGTAGAGTACATTTGTTATGTGAATTAATGCATCTTTGTGAGAAAAATGAAAATAATATTTAGATGTTCTGTATTCTCTTATCATCAAACACTAGACTGACTGTTATTCTAGGTTGAAGTCCTTTCCGTGATACAGAATCCTCGCATGTAAAGGAATTGTGAGTTCTGTTTTTCATGAAAAGGACATATATACTCTGCTTTCTGCTTTAGAGATACCACTATAGAACTCTGCTGTGACTTCCTATCTTGATATTTAGGAATAGAGCCAGAACTAAACTTTTGGAATAGTTGTTGTTGTTTTGCTTTGCTTTATTTTTCACTATATCACATTGTCTCTCATATTTCCATGCCATATTTACCCTAGGGGTTTGGAAACTTGAGGAATGGCATTAGTTAGCTCTGATTGTTTTTATTTCCTGACTCATTTTGTGGGTAATGTTGACCATGAATAGTATTAAATGTGCAAGGTCAGATAAAAAACTAATCTCATTCCATTCACTGGGAGACCATGTCCCCATTACAATGAAGAAATGCCTGATAATATCACAATTACACTGGCTACAGTATTCTTTAACAAACTTTAGTGATGAAGGAGATTGTAGCTGAGTTCTTTAAACAAGAATTGTTTGAGAAGGATGTTACAGAGTGAATTATGGGTTAGCAGGAGAATGGGCTTGCATGGCTTTTGTGTGTCCTTATGCTCAGATTCAAGATTCCCACACAAAGACTGCATGGGATGGCTGTGAAGTGCTGGTAGCCTTAGTTACAGGGTTTCTTTGTGTTTGTCCTAGACTGCCTTTTCAAGGTGTGCCCTATGAATCGTTATTCTGCCCAGAAGCAGTATTGGAAAGCCAAACAAGCCAAACAAGGGAACCACACAGAGGCCGCCTTGCTGAAGAAGCTGCAGGTAAGGCCAGCTGCCCTTGGCCTTGCTTTTGGATCACAAGCAGAAATGACAAACAAAGTACTCATGGCTTTCTAGCTTCGTGTTTTTGCTAATACACAGGGATCTCAGTAGACACAACATGCTGCAAAGTGGAAGGGAGTTTTAGGTCGTGGGGTGTGACCACTTAACTTCCTGGCATGTACCAGCACATTCCTGCTGCTGTTTTCTAGGGTGTGCCAGACTAAAAATTTCACATCAAATAGGAATATTTAATCCAGTCATATTTCATTTGACATACTACTTAAATTATTTTTCCTGAAAGACTTAGAAAAAATAACGTAAAGACTATTTTTTATGGTTTGGTTGAATGTGAATTTGACAGAACTTAATTTTGCATCATTAAAATTCCTGTTACTTTCAGAATTGGAAACTATACTTTCAGACTTTTGCAATTCACCTGCTATCCCGTTGGGTTTGCATTCTTTCTTAGAGAAGTTTTATAAGACCAGAGTGACAATTCTTTTCTGAATTCTGACATAAATTTGACTGAAGACATTTTTGGTTGTGTTCCGGCATGAACTGTGAAATTATTTCATTATTGCTCCCTTCTCCCTCCCTCTCCACACTCCAGTCTGTTTTATTTGTAGTTGTATCTGTATAAAACTGTTCACTTCCTTGTCAGTTACTGTACTGTGTTCATGATATCTCTACACTGAGTATTTGATGATTTTACAGCATGCTGCAGAACTGGAGCAGAAACAAAATGAATCAGAGAATAAGAAGCTGTTGGGGGAAATTGTGAAATACAGTAATGTTATACAAGTAAGTCTCTATTTTCTCTTAAAACATGTAAATATGTTACAGGAGACATGCCAAATTGTCCATATTGGTTGGAATGCCAAGCTGTAGGAAAATTTTGAAAGAATATAGTTTGTTCTACAGTGGAAATTATATTTGTTATGACTTACTCAGTTGATAACCAGTGCACAATTTTATACATTTATGAATAAGTCTTGGATTTGGGGGTATAGTTCAGTGGTAGAACTCCTGCTGAGCATGTGTAAGACCTTGGGTCCAATCCCAGTACTGAGGAAGAAAAGAAGTAGAAGTCTGATGCACACACATAAAGAAGTGATGTTATCTGGATGCCTGCATAAGTTACTACATCAAAAAGAGGAAGGCAGGGAAAGAATTTCTTCTAAAGACTGATAAGCAGTAGTCTTTTGGATTAATGACACTAGTGTTTGACACTGGGAACTTTACTTTCTGTTTGGTATTGGAAAGTTTTCAAATTGTCCTTTTGGAAGCAAACCACCCTTTTGTTTATAGGTCTTCCATTTCAGTTAGTGTGCTCATTCCAGTTTATCTGGGCTGTCCCACCTTGTTCCACAAAGAATGTAAGGCATTTTCCAAAATATGTACCACATAACAAGATAAAAGACAAATAATAAAGCGATTGGGTCAAGGAGAAAGGAACGGTTGGATGAGTAAGCTGAGGTTAGGGGAAAGACATGTTCATAGAAGCCATGCGGTAAAGTCAGGTGAACATTACCTGAAGGCTTCTTAGGCTGTGGAGCCATGAAGCAAGGGCCTGCTTCTGTATAGGCACAGGAAGGCCAGAGCATGGAGCAAAGCAGAGGTCTAGAAGCACAGCTGTTCCCAGAAACAAGAGCAGGGAAGTGTTTCTCCTGAGTGTTCATAAAGAGGACACTGTTTAATACAGTAGACAATAGCCTTAACGTCCTTATAGTAAATGCCACAATGAGGTACTTATAAAAATAATATTTCCTGATATTTTGTCATTGGCTAATGGCAAAGTGCCACAATGCAGGGAAAGCAGGAACGAGATAAGAGACTTGGGGTCTGCAGCTTCCCGATGTGTGACTTAATCTAATGGTGGTGTGACACAGTCTGTGTGCATGGACAGCACACCTCTTGGACTATCCTCCAGAAACAGTTTCTCTTATCAGGTTTTGATTACAGCTAAATGCAGCGTTAGAGCTTATGCTCCTTGCCAAGGATTTGAAGTACAAATGTTTGCCTGCTCAGATGGTGACTGAGCATGGGCTTCAATGTGCAGGAGCCAGAGGAGCAGAGTCTCAAAGGTGTTCAGTGCTTTGCAGTAAAGTGAGAGCCATGGGCTCGAGGGCGAACTTTGCAAAAGGCTGATTTTTGACAATTAAAGAATTGCTTTTTATTTTAAGATGACTTCTCCCTATGTGTACTGAAATGACCTTTTTCTTTTTTAATGATTGAAATTGATAATAGATGGAAAGCCTATTTTGTTTTGGTTTTCCTACTCAGTACAGTCACATTTTGGGAAAAATTTGCCCATAGAATCCATAGACAAAGGCTTGGTGAGGAACAGTGCTCCTGCACTCATCTATGAAAAGGGGTCAGCATCCTTTCAAAAGTTGTGGTGTGCATTTAGGATAGGCAGGCAGCCCACCTCATCACAGAATTAGAGCTAGGGCCTCCATGGGCAGGGGTGGTTCATGATACCAAGTAGGTTGGTAGATGATTGTCGTTTCTTGGTTCTTGTTGAGTATGTTCTCCTTTTGTGGCTATGCTGGCATTGGGAAAGGATGTGACTTAGAGGAACTTCCAGGTCTTCTCTGGAAGGTCTGGTTTTATTCTGTTATTCTATTTTATCAGTTGATGAAAATAATTAGTGTCCCCTGCCTAATTTTCCTCACGTGTTCACTTTATTATGGAGCAGAATTGGTGTTGGGGTGAGGAGGAACCTAAAGAAAGTCAACTTGGAGATGTGGTGGTTGTGAAGTCTGAACACAGGTCCTTCATTCCATTTCCACTGCAAGCCCTGTGACTTGGGGACGTATGATGCATTTATGAACATCTAAGTGAAATTAACAGTAGAAATCAAGTAATAAACATAATGCATGTCTTTTCCCTACAGCTGCTGCATATAAAAAGCAACAAATACCTTACTGTAAACAAGAGGTTGCCTGCTTTACTGGAGAAGAATGCCATGCGTGTGTCTTTGGATGCTGCAGGAAATGAAGGGTCTTGGTTTTATATTCATCCCTTCTGGAAGCTGAGAAGTGAGGGTGACAATGTATGTAAATATAAAATTAGGAGGGAAATGGTGCATTTATAAGGAATATAATCCTTAAGTGAGAGAATTCAGAAAGTGCAAAGAAATGAAATACAGGTTTCACTTCATTACTTACATGTTAATGTCTTTACTGTGCTAAGTACACTTATTTATGGCATGGTTTGTACTCAGAAGTCATAAAAATCAGAATTAAGATTAATTTAAAGTCATCTTTCAGCTAGAGATTGTGTGAAAGAACTCAAGCAATTGTAATGTTGGCTAATCCTTGTTGAAGGAGGCAGAATTTACTTCCTTGCCTAATCAGGGGGAACGTGGTTGCAAGGAAAAGAGCTGTGTGTAGGAAATGGTGTCTAACCCTTTGAGTTTATAAGAGTAGCACCATGAATCATGGCGGTGTCTACCCCTGGGTTATGGCCAGCTTCTCAGTCTGCATGTTGTAATAGAGGTGCAGTGTATGAGGAGCGGCAGGCTTGGCACCTACCCACTGATGACAGGTGCACTTACAAAAGTTGTGGATTATGTGTATATTGTCATGCAGATTTTAGGAATTGGTGAAATATTTTCTGCTATTTTATTGAGTAGAGAAAAAAAATCTGTCAAATGATCCCATAGGCTCAATAGTTAGATATTTTTGTATGTAATGAATAAAGTGTTGTGTGACAATGCTCAGTAAAAAATGCTGGTTGACACCAAGCACTGAATAACTTTCATAATTAGAACTTTTATGAATATTGGGCCAGGCAATGAATGCTTGAGATTAAAAAAACTAGCATCATGAATCCAAAGTAATATAAAAGTATAATCTTTCTGATAGTTTTTTCAATCAGCAATACGTTTTGGGTATTTCTTATCTTAGATATGTCTTTTTTAACAGTGAATCTATTTTTCCAGTGAATTTTAAAATATAAATTCCATCCCACAGGATGCACGCTTCATGAGTTAACTTGGTATAAAAATTATCAGGTGGATCTTCCTTAGGTAAGGTTTGGGATAAGCATGGCATGCAGGAAAGTGTAACATACAGTCTTGTGTTGGATCCCTTAAAAAATTAAGTTGTACTTTTTTTCTTTTGATATCCAGTGATGTGTGCTATGAGCATGATACATATTTTAATTTTAGTATGTAGTTAATTACAATCAACTCTCAATGTATTCTGGGAGTGATTATGCAGTTTGTGAAGGACTCACACCTTTGATATCCTTTTTTGTAATGCTCTCTCCACCCCAATTCCCTGTCATGGTGGTCCATGAAGATTAAACACCAAAACAAGCAAAACAAGCTCAGACTCTAAAAGAATACAGTACAGATGAAATGATTGGGTAAATTGAGACCTTTAGATTAGCTGTGCATCTTAATCCATTCTCTTGACGTATTTTTCTTTTCCTGCTTTCCAAGCACTTTGCAGCAAACACAGAGAGTTGAATGTAATGAACTATTTCAAATACTCAGTCATCCTGGGGAAAACAAAACAAAACAAAATAAAACCTCCCACCCAGACACACCATCCTGGTAAAAATGGACAGTGTAATTGTTAAGTGAAGCACAGAAGTTGTCCTTTTCTAGATATGCTCCATCTGGCATGGCTGAAAACAACCTTCTATGTTGCTGTGTTGCTGAAAGATCTCACTGGTTTTGCTCACTCTGTGTAGCTTCTGTGTGTGGTTAAGGCTGCTGAGGAAGTCTACCATACCCACTGCTTTATATAGGTCACAAAGGTAGCTGTATTGTAACTCTCATTTCCTTCCTTAGAAATAGGTAGCATTTTTAAGTATTTTGTTGAAGGCAGTTGCAAATGCTGTTACTTCATAGAAAGTGGTTAAATTGTTACTGATTTTTTTTAACAGCATTATTAAATGAAGAAGAGGAAATTGCAATGTTTAGAGGACTTTAGTAATAATAGTTTACTATTTAGCAATTAAGTTATCGTTTAGGTTGTATGTATTCAATAAGATGTTCTTTGACCCAAATCAAATGCAAGAATGAGGTGGATGAGAGTCTGGGGAGAGAGGTGTGCATGTCCACAAAATTAATGGTTTCGACCACTCCATACATCTTTACAGTATGTGTTAGAGAATTATGGGATGTGTGGCTCGGAGAATAAATAGATTCATGGTTCTCTTGACCTTCAGCTGTGCAGAAAGACGTTGCTTCCTGTTGAACTGATAGAAAATAACTGGGGACAACCATGAGCAGAGAGCATAAATATTTCATTTTCATTTATCTTCTTATGATTGAATAATTTTTCATTTTCAGTTTTGATCTAAGAAGACAAGGTTTCTTTAGCACTATAGTAGATTTAGAAGTACGAAAAGGTTTTTTTTTAAATCAAGGGACAATTTCAACTCTTGAGAGAGAGACTCTTTTTGCTTAGAAAGCAAATTTTGTTATTTTTAGAGAAGCTATATGCCTGGAAATTCTAGCAGAGTCCACCTGGCGTTTGAGTCCTACTGTGCTGTTCTTTTTACCATGGCCTGTGTTGCTCTCAAATCTGAAAATAGTATTATATTGCTCTTTACTTTCAGCAAAATCCCTGTTACACAGAACCAACGGAAGTTCTTTTAGAATTCTAATTTTTAAAAAACAGATGTTTGTGCACTACTGAATGTGATGGCTGATGAGATCAGTGAATATGATGTAAAACAACTTCACCCTTAAATTATGTACCAAATGCACAGCTTCTCAGAATGGATGCCTCAACTCCCTCAGTGAATCGCCCTGAACTACACTCTCAAGTTTCACATTTGTCAGATCTTCTAATTTTAGGTCTGAGTTCCCTGGGAATAGGAACCATTTCTTACACACCTTTGTTTTCGTCCTGGCACCTCTTGCTGTGCTCTTAGTTTCACATGATTGGCATCTTGTCCATTCCATCTATAAGTTTTATTTATTGTGGTAAGTCAAGGTAACCATTGTCAAGAATAAGACTGAGGGCCTGGAAATTTTTCATGAATTAATGCTTGATTCTACTTAAGCATACTGTTCTTGTAACCTTTGGAAGCTGTCTCATAGGCACTAAAAAACATTTTGGCTATGTGGCTGTTATCTTAAAAATATTGAAACTTTAATGTGTGGTGTTTTGAAGTAAATATAGCATATGAATTGGCTCAGAGAATGATAGTAAGATAGAAGACTTAGAGCAGCAAATGTAGTTGCAACTAAATGTATTTAGTTGGAAGAACTAAAAATATATTATTTTTAAAGAAACTTCTTGGTTAATATTTGTACATTATTGATGAGAATGAAAAAGTTAGTCAAATGCTGTTTAAGAAGTTGGACAAACAGGTATAGCCCTAGTAAAATGTGTCAAGCTCCCACTAGTTTATAGTGTGGTTGAATACTTGGGTCCACATGTGGCTCTGTGACTTAAGGATGTCTTGATGTCATGGAAAATAGCTTCAGTGACATTTTTTTTTTTAAGGAAGGAGGGAATTGGAAATATGTTTAAGCCATATTGATTTTCATTGCTTTTCAATTATGATTTATCTTTTCAGAGGTACCAGTCATGGTTCAAAGGTAGAAAACAATACAAAGATTGTAAAAATCTCTTCTGCCCCTTTCCTTCTGCCCAGTTCCCCTACTCCCTTCCCCCATGGTTAACTATTGGGGAGAGTTCTTTAATATTACACAGTATCTGCTCTTCCCTCCATCATTTTACTTCACGCTGTTTCTTCATGTTCTTTCATTACCTGTGCTTAGGTAAGCTGTGGTGAGTCTTTGTGAGTCACATCTTCTGGCTTATTACCAGTTTGAAAGGTAGGGTGATGAATTCTGTGAGGCTTCTCTATCACGTCTGAATCTCCAGATATACTTTGTGCAAACAATACCATATACGACTGTGGACTCCTGTAATCCATGTAAGGTTACTTGACACTGAAAATAAATTACGTTTCTTCAAGTTTTGGTTTAGTTTAAGAGGCATGGAGGAGTTCTGAGTCCTGATTTGTTTTTCATTTATATATCAAACTAATCTCATCTAATATTTAATTGGGATGAAAGATGCAGAGAGAAGGCTTTAATTTCCACTTCTGAGGTGATGAGCAATTCTATTAATTTAGAGTGTTGGCACTACAAAAATACATCTAAGGAAGTTTAGCAATGCAAGTAACTTTAATAACTAAAATTAAACTGTTCATTATTATCATTAAGAAAGGATACCTTTCAACAGTTTAAATTATGAATAAAAATATTTGAAGATAATTCCAGGTACTTGGTAGGTTGAAGCAGCAGGATCACAATTTTGACCTGGGCAACTTAGTGAGAGCTGTCTAAAAATAATAAAAAATATTTGAAGATTTAACAGACATTGAATGACAGCATAAATAAAGAGTAACTTATACTTAACCTCTCAAGCACTTTTCCCAGGATCAATTTCAGTTTTTACTTAAAAATTAACATTAGGGTCATAGAGCAATATTAATTTTGGATGTTTAAGAGGGAATCAGATTCCCAGGGCCCAAACAAAACCATATTTTTACAAGTTTGTATATGTTTCTGTATTTCCTGAATCCAGATGACATTAGCATGTTTAATAATTACCGAGATCATGGCAAGATCAACTTCCCAGATATGTCTCTAATTGGCAAGGCAGCACAAATGTGTCATGTTTTCTGCTTTCCTTTGAAATGATTCTGACTTTAGGTAGATTGGTTTCACTGTGGCAGATATGTTGACTGTTTCTGCTGTGCTTGTATCATAAGATCTTGTGTGTGTGTGTGTGTGTGTGAAAATGGTCCACTTATGGGCTTCAAGAAAGCTCGAGCTAACATGGGAGACTAATAAGAGAAAGATCTGCACTAGCTTCATGAATCCAGCCTGATAGGCAGGCACATGCATGTTCATTTATTCGGGATATTTTACCTCAAGGAGAAAAGAATTGAACTGAAATTTGTGTGGATAAAAGGGCGAGGTGTCAGGGTGGTGACAGAGTTCTGTTACTTCAAATATCTGTGCAGTCTCAGTTGTATTTATCTCTGATTCCTAGATTGTCGTGGGAGATAAAGTGGTTCTGATGCCTGTGAATGCAGGGCAGCCTCTCCATGCCAGCAACATAGAGCTCCTGGACAACCCAGGCTGTAAGGAGGTAAGCTCCAGAGGACAGGCGTAAGAGAGAGAGGGAGAGGGAGGAGAGAGGTCAGTTAGTTTCCTGGTTTTGTGAGCATCATCCCAGGTATGCTAATTAATACTCCTAAAGCACATGTAGATACCTATTCGCTATTTTTGAATTGTCTTTAGAAGATATTCTTATATTCTTTGGACTTATTTCATTGTCCAAAATTGTCTTTTTTTCCTTTTTCTTGTGTAAGTAATAATTTCTAGTATAGAATGAAATCTTTAGTCTTATAACTCTTAGTATTTCTTCATTAACAGGTGAATGCTGTTAATTGCAACACTAGCTGGAAAATCACTTTGTTCATGAAATTTAGTTCCTATCGAGAGGATGTATTGAAAGGAGTAAGTATGTGCTACAGGGATGTTTACTGGAGGAAATGAAGATAGTTTTACTACAATTCTGGATGCAAAACCTCTGCATTCACCAGTGTTCATAATTTACAGTGTGGCCACAAACCTACAAACCTTAATTCCCACTCTGACTAAAACAGTCCCTCCCTCCAGGATTGCGCAATATTTAAGTAATCATTAAAAGCCAAGTGGCTGGCAGAAGGGCCAAAATGAAAAGAGACTCTTGCTTTTCATTGTTTGTTCAGATGGTTGTTGGAAATGTTCTCGACCTGTTTCTCTAGGGTGATGTTGTTAGACTGTTTCATGCAGAACAAGAGAAGTTTCTGACTTGTGACGAATATGAGAAAAAACAGCACATCTTCCTTCGTACAACCCTGCGTCAGTCAGCAACGTCTGCTACCAGCTCTAAGGCTCTCTGGGAAGTAGAGGTGTGCACATTTTTTTTGCTTTTAATAAATATTTAGATAAAAAATATAAGATCCACAAGGCTATTAGTTTTACTGTTATAGTCATCATTTGTGGTATACCCATCACACAATATAATTTTTGAGAACTAATTTGTACCCTTTCATTGCTATGATCAATTAGAAAGGATAGTACTAGGTCTGTCTCTCTGTCTCTCTTATCTCTGTCTCTCTTTCATATACACACATACACATGCACATTTAATTATATCTTATTTTACTTTTTAAAAGGCACGGTGTGCATAGAACAGGCCAAGGATTAAGCATTGATCAGATTAGAAGTGATGAGGGTTAGGCAGGAGCAGGTGACCCACTGTGACAGCACCATGAGTGGAGACAGAAATGGATGTGTACAGTCACTGAAGAGACTGGGGTCACCATTTCTATTAGGATCTAGAGACACATAGTTGAATACTTCACCCTTTACAGAGTATTCATTAAATGTGGCAGTATGGTAAAGTAAGTAAGAAAATGCTTTAAATGACCTTTCCATACAGTAGGGGAGATAATACATACATAATTCATATGAACAAGCAAGAGCTGATGAATTGCATCTTGACTTAATATATAGGCATGTAGCAGTGGTTCTCAGCTGATTCAGACCCATCATTCTCCCTTTTAAGGCGTCTGTTTTAGAACACTTCTGATAATATCAGGATGAAATTTATAAGTTGTCCTGGTTGAAAATTAATATAATGCTCTAATTTGAATAAAAAGAACTAGAAGAAGAATGTTTTATAATAAGGTTATGTGTGTTTCAACATGTAAATGACTACTGGGGAAGGTGTAACATTTACGTCTATCTTTGCAAATCTGTTCTCACCCTGGAGAGAGGTAGGAGAGGAGGTAGGGCAGGATCAGAAGATATCTTGCACAAGTACAGGAAAATGAAAAAGCAAAGATAAATGTGATACCTGAAATACTAACTGCCAGAAGAAGTAATAACAAAACATGCTTTTTTGCACATGCTAAAAAATAGAGGGAAGTAGCCATAATTAAAGTAGGGTGTAACAAGGCAAATTAAAGATACTTGAAACATAGAAAATGAAGAAGTATAATGTCTTTGCAAATAAACAAAGCCTTATTTATAAATTTAACAAAAAGCATTTTCAAAGCTATAATATGGTTCAGAAATAAAATAGTTACATAATATAATATGGTTATATAATATATTATTGATAATATATATATATAAAATATATGGTTATATAATACGGTTCAGAAATAAAATCTGATAAGATATATTTGTCCTCTGGCATTCACATTACCACCAAAGCCAGCAGAGATGAGGCTGTGTGAAACCTGCCCTGTCATGCTGCCTCACGCAGTAGGGTGCGGCTGAAGAGAAAAAGGCAACCTGAAAAAAAATGTACAGTTGAATCATAACTGTGTTCCAAAAACTGAAATCAGTATAGAAATAATGTGAAATTGCTTAAAAACTTCAGTAATGAAATAGTGAGTTCTCTGCCTATTTAATATTTAGTTCTAAACTTGTTAAAGGAATTTTGAAATGCCACTTACATATTTACTTTGATATTTTTTGCTGTAACTGTGCCACTGCACTGAAATCCTTTCCGTCAAATATGTAGTTGGAAATGCTGTAATACATGGAGCAGTCAGAATGAAAAGTGAATATGTTATTTAATAGTTTTGAAATGTTTTTACTTCTTTTAATCTTTCCTCTCCATAGTGATTTTTTTCTCCGTCTCCACCTCTTTCTCCTCTTCCTCTTCCTTTTTCTCCACTTTTTACCTCCTCCTCCTCTTCCTTTCTGAACCTTGTCCTCCTTCTCTTCTCTTCTTCCTTCTCCTTCTCTACCCCCTTCTGTTCCTTCTCTTTCTCCTCCTCTTTCTCTTCCTTCTTTTCCGCCCTCCTCCTTTCTCTTTCTCTTCTTCTCTTCCTCTTCCTTCTTCTTCACCCTCCACCTCCCCCTTACTCCTTCACTTCTTTCTTCACCCTCCTCCTCCTTCAGTCTTCATAGCAATTCTGTCAGTTGACTCCATTTTATACATGAAGAAACCAGGTCTGAATATGTTAAATTACTTGTGATCATGCCATAGTAATTGGAAGAACTGATCCTCAAACACTGCGATGACGATGTAGACCCTGATCTCTATTCCTGCACCATGCCCCGTCATACTCAATAGTGACATACTTTCTGCTTTCATATCCAGTGGAGTGTAGAGGCTCAGCACCTGGGGCAAGGCCAGTTTTGAGGGGTATTTGTACACAGTGTGCACAGCACAAGCCAAGGATGAAGCATTTGGAATGGTTTTTCCAGCCTCTGCATGGCTGTCTCATTCTCGAGCTCTGGTTTTTATTTACGTGCTATGTCTAAGTGACCCATGTGGATTGCCATATCTATGGCAGCCTTACCTAGTTACTGCACCAAGCACTTGTTTGTCTCCTTCCTGGCAGTTTCTGATCTTACTTATTTCTTTGTTTGCTGATTGTCTCTTCTCTATAGAATGAAAGCTGTATTCAGGGTGCCCTATCCCTATTGTCTTCTTTGTTTTTTTTTTGAGTTTGCAAAATGTAGCCTTTATTATATTGATGGATGTTCCTTGTCCTATTTATTGTCTTGAAGGGCTTTTGCATCCCTGTGACCAAACCTGAGAAAAGCAACTTAAAGGAGGAAGGGTTTATTTTGGTTTATGTTTTTAGAGGGTTCAGTTCACCATGGCTGGAGGGCATAGTGGAGCAGATAAATTCATTTCATGGTGGCCAGAAAGCTGAGAAAAGGGGATCCCAGAAAGGGCTAGGACAAGATATAGCTCCCAAGAATACACTCCCGGTGACCTACTGAGCTCCAACTCCTACCTGCCATCACCTTCCATCAGTGCCATCACATCACTAATCCATCAAGGGATTCATCCATTGATTATACCAGATCTTTTTGCTTTTCTTTTTGGTGGGGCAGAGGTTTGAACTCAGGCTTCATGCTTGCAAAGCAGGCGCTCAACTGCTTGAGCCACACTCCCAATCCAGGTCAAATCTTTCATGATCTAATTGTATCTGGAAATGCCCTCACAGACAAACTCACAAATGTGCTTTGCTAATGTCCTTGATATTTCTTAATCAAACCAAATTGACAATCTGGATTAAACATCACAATGAGTATCTGCACATTGTAGATTCTTATTACCATCTTTTGAATGAATATTCAAATAAGAAATAGGGAAATCCCACAGGATATCTGGTTTTGGCCTCAGAAACATGCCTTTTGGGGTGAGGCAGTATTTGCAGGTGGAAGGCATGAGCATCATGAATACATAAAGTTTTACATGTCTCCTGCTCACTCATGGGGAATTTTCTTCTGCCACATTGTGGCCTCAAGGAAACATGCTAGGTTTGACAGGTCAAATACAAGAGGCACTCTGTGTATACTGTTGTCATTTGTTTCCTGGGACATGAATACCATTTTGCCATTATTGTCATTACTCTTTGTCTATAGGTGGTTCATCATGACCCATGCCGTGGGGGTGCAGGACAATGGAACAGCTTGTTCAGATTTAAGCATCTTGCAACTGGGAACTATCTAGCTGCAGAGGTAAGACTTGGATACAGTGCTTTTATGCCTCTGACTCTGAAGTAGTGAACTAGGTAACTGGTTTCTTCAAAAGACATTGTATAACTGTTACAGAAATTTAATTATTGCCTGTAATGTTCTCGTCTGCCATATAGATTATTTTAAAGTGTAGGTGTTAGTCAGAGAGTTTTAAAAATCAAAGCCACAACAACAGTAACAAAACTCTGCAGTGGATTTCCTATAAGGTCAAGTGGCCTGGGACATCAGTTCTCATGTGTATATGATATGGTCTAAATCATTCCACTTCACTCTCTCAGGATGTCTGCATTAGAGACACTATCTGCTCATTGTTGATGCTTGTAGCTCAGATAGTGCCCATTATGTATTCATTAGTCACTCTTCCATTAGTGGCAGTTTTATCATTCAAACCACTAGAGAGGAAGGGGTCTTCTTCCTGATACACTGAACTGAAGCTGTCAATAAAAAATGGTAGAACCATATTAAGGACTTTCTTTTTCTACTAAAAGCACATTGACAATTAGGTATAATAAAGGGTGGGTAGAAATAAATCAAAAAGTCTTAGAAATGAGCTGGGTGCCTCATTACATGACTGTAATCCTAACTACTCAGGAGGCAGAGATCAGGAGACTCACAGTTTGCAGCCAGCCCGGCAAAGAGTTCCTGAGGCCCTTCTTGAGAATACCCATACAGAAAAGGGCTGGTGGAGGGGATCAAGTGGTAGAGCTCCTGCTTAGCTAGCATGAAGCCCTGAGTTCCACCCCAAGTACCACAAAAAAAGTCTTAGAAATGGCTTAAAGTTTGGTTATCTAATTTAAAAATCACTTAGAAACAATTTTTTTAGATTGTGAAAAAAAATCTGTTCGTCTTGCTCTCCTCTACTGTTTCTGCTTTTTTAATTTAGAATTTCCTTTGAGACTCTGAACCAGAATTTGGTCTTACACTTTGTACTATTTCTTATGTAAATTCTGGCTTTGCATGTGAGGAAGGGTAAGGAAGGAAGTGGGGTTGGAGCACTGATGAGGGACAGGGACAGGTGCTGGAGCAGGAGGGTCTTCCAGGTTCCATAAATGTGACCATGTGTCATACACTAGGAGCCAATTCCACCTCCTTCCCCCCTCCACCCCTCCTCCCTATGGGCTAGTGTTTCACCAATCCCCCCACTCTTCCCCTCTCCCACAGTCTTCACAGCAGTCATCATCCAGCTTGGGCATGTGTTTTAGTGACCGTCTGCCTATAGACTGTATGCTTTCTGAGGAAGGGACGATTTCCCACATCACCAGGGTGCGGACACCTGAGCATTCCTGGCCCTGAGAAAGCATTAATTACCATGTTTTAAGTGAGTAATGTAAAGAAGCCAATCTCAGCGATGGGAAGAAAGGAATTTCGGGGTTTGTGCGTGAGAGGCATTTGGAAGACTATTTGAGCCAATTAATCTCTCTCAGCTCCACTTCCTTTCTTTCGAAAATGAGGATAATCAAGTATTGAGTTAATTTTCTAAGAGCCTTACATGCAGTAGAGTGCTAGGCACAGTGTGTGGCTTAAGGTAAGCGCCAGGAACTGATGTCAGCATGATTAATTTTATTATGGGCTGAACAGGGATTATTCTTGTTTTCGTAAATACCTGGCCCACTATTTACTGCTCAACTAAACGGAATAAGGCTTTGCAGTTCATGGGCCATTTATACCAGAAATGCTGTAAGTAACTCTTTTGAGAAGTTAGGGAACCTTGTTTAAGGCTTAGGAAAGCCTCACTAGGATCGAAGTCCCTTGGAGCCTATGTTAGTGGCTTGTTTCCCACACTCACCTGCTAATGGCTTCTGTAGCTACTGACATTTTGTAGAAGACTGATACGATGTTTGTAATTATTATTACTGCAGTTAGAACTAGTATCATTTGTTACATTCAAATGATTAGATTATTAAGAATTAAATTATACCTCAACTTTGGTGAAGATCCAAGGCCTCAGTATATATATATATATACACACATATCAATTAATTAAAAACAGGGAAATGGAAAACACTTCATTCCCTGAAACAGATGGGAAGGACCATCTGTTCATCTGTCTCTAAAGAACAGGGCTTTAAATACCAAGTGCTACTTTGTCCATGAAGAAGTCAGTGTATTTGGACCTTCCCTTTGACCTTTATTTCTTTGGATAACATCTTTTTTATAGCAAAGGTAGGAAAAGGAAAATTAAGCATTAAATACACATGAGAAAAATGAAAGCTTAGGATCCATTTCTATTGATTTTAACTAGTATCAGAACAGGTGCTTCTGCATAGTATTCTAACATCAAGGTAGACATCATAGCTTGGAAATATTAGTTTATAAGTTGGGGTTACATTTTATACATCAACTAAGTTCAGACAAGTTCCTGGCAAACTTGTGTCCTAGGGTGCTTGTCCTCCTGATATGAAAGAGTCTTGAGGTATGGTCAGATCATGGTGACTCTAGTCCCTGTTACTTGATAAAAAAGAATGAAGAAGATAACCCAGTTGGGAAGCAGGTGGTAAGCCTCTCTGATAGTCACTTAGACTATCCTCTCATTGCTTTGCTTTAAAAATGCTGGGTCTTTCATTTAAAAACTTGTTCTTGTCAGCAAGGCAGCATGGGGAGATACACCATTTGAGCTGTAACTTCCTAGCATTGCTTGTTTTAGCAGCCTATACACCTCCTCTTAGGTAGGAAAAAGCTCCCTGGTTTTTGTTTGTCTCAATATTTTAGTTTTTTCCTTTAGTATCTAGATACTCTTTTAAAAAACAAGATATTTTGATGCTGAAAATGCAGGAGTTGGGAATACTGAGTTTTGGAACCCATGAAAACAGCAAGCATCACCATTAAGATCACATAGGATGTTTAATACATGTGTCTATGCCTGACAAACACTCCTTGGGGTGAACAGTGCTGCAGGTACAGGAAGGAGAACAGAGAATTTCTTCCTGGTTAAGAATACAGCATATAATGAATGACCATGAACACCAGCAGGATCAGACAGGTCTAGTTATGTGTGTTGGTGGCATTAAGTCAGAGTGAGATTAGTTGAAGAAGGTTCTCAAATAGGGTTAACTTTTTCCTGGTTCTCAAAGACAGTAATAGACACCGATTGGAAGGGAATGAAGAAGATAACCCTATAGAAGTTGTCAAGGAGACACAGGCAGGGATGTGGAGAGTCTAGATCTTACATGTGCCATGTAAAAGCTCCAGGAAGGGGTTGTGAAAGGGATTATTGAGTAACAGTTCCTTTTGCTTTAAGATTTTGAACAGAGAGGTAGGTGTGGCGGTTCATGCCTGTGGTCCCAGCTATGTAGAAGACAGAGGAGTTAAGATGGCAAGACTTTCTTTTTAAGTAATTTTTTTATTAGGATATATTCACTGTATGGGGGAGGGGGTTCAGGGAATTGTAGTGACAATTCTGATTAGCCTTATATTGTACATTACATTGCCCCCATTGTCTCTCCCCCTCAGCCCTCTCGCCACCCCACTTAAAGCAATTGCAAGAGGTTTCTTAGTTCTGCTTCATATAGGTATATGAATCCATCTACCATATACCCTGCCTTAATCTCTTTCCTTTGCCCTCCGCCTTCCTACTAGTGCCCCCCCTTCCACTGCATCTATTTTACAGTCCTGGTTTTTGTTATTAATATTTAAGTTGATGTTCAAAGGGGTGTCTCAGTGTATACCCACTATGGATGCACTTTACTTTGGTCCGTTAAACCATTCCATTACTCTCCCTTACCATGTTATCTGCCCCCCATTTTCAACATCTTTCAATACATATCCTTATATCCTCTACCTTCACATATTATGTTATGTGATATTACTGATACTTTATCATTTACTTTTCTTTTCCCTCTTACCCCAAGTTCCATAGAGTAGTTCTACTGTTACAGACATGTTCTGCATCTGCGTTTGTATATGATCATGTTTGTTTTTGTTTACATGTTTATCATTGGATTTATCTTCCACATATGAGAGAAAACATGCAGCTTTTGTGTTTTGATCCTGGCTTACTTCATTTAACATGATGTCCTCCAATTGCATCCATTTACCTTCAAACCACAAGTCTTTATTCCTTATGGCTAATACTGCATTGTGTATAAGTATCACAATTTCTCAATCCATTCATCAATTGTAGGGCACCTGGGTTGTTTCTAAAATTTGGCTATTATGAATAGTGCTACGATGAACATTGGTGTACAGGTGTCTCTGTTGTATCCTGACTTACATTCCTTTGGGTAGATGCCCAGGAGCGGTATCACTGGATCATATGCAGTTCTATCTTTAGTTTTTTGAGGACGCTCCATACTGCTTTCCATAGTGGTTGTACTAATCTGCAGTCCCACCAGCAGTGTATTGTGTTCCTGTTTGTCACATCCTTGCCCGCATTTGTTGTTGTTATTACCCTTAATTATGGCCATTCTAACTGGGGTGAGATGAAATCTGTTGTTTTGACTTGCATCTCTTATGTAACCAGGGAAGTTGAACACCTTTGAGAATTCCCTGTTTAATTCATGTACCCATTTTTTCAGGGTTTTGATTCTTTGGGGGCTGAGATTTTTTGAGTTCCCTGAAGATTGTGGATATTAGTCCCTTATTGGATGAGTAGCTGGCAAAGATTTTCTCCCATTCTGTGAGCTGTCTCTTGAGTTTGGTGACTGTTTCCTTTGCTGTACAGAAGATCTTTAGTTTGATGCAGTCCTATAGGATGCCAAGTTTAAGACCATCCCAGGCATAGTTAACAAGACCATATTTCGAAAACAAAATACAAACAAAAGGACTGGGGACATGGCTTAAATCTCAGAGTACGTGCAGCGGGACCCCGAATTTGATCCCTAGTACTGAAAAAAAGGCAGGTTTTGAATGAGAATTTGTATTTGCTGAAATTAGTAATAGGAATGAAGTTTGAAGCAGTTTATCCATGGTACCTAGATGTCAGAATTAATGAGCTATTTGAAACCTTTGGTAGGAACCAATGGCATCACTAAACGTCAGTCTCA